GCCCAGGTTTAGGGAGAGGGACTTAGACTTGCCTCTCAGAGGGATAAGTAATGGGCATTTTGGTCGCCCTTGATTTACCACATTGTGTTCTTTGATAGGAGAGCCTTCGGGGGACTTTCAGGGGAGACAGTTGGATGGAGTGGTAGGTGCATGATACGTGGCCACGAGAACTTTCAGATTTGGAGAAAAAGATGAAACAGTGGTGGATTGAAGACTCAACAAGTGCTGGAAGTGAGATAGGAGGTGTGGAGTACTCTGGGCTGTGGGGAGAAGACAGAACTGGGAGTGGAGATCAGAGTAAGACTGATGATTGGAGGGATTTGCTTGTTTTTAACTTTGCTTGTTTGCCTTGAAGATGGGTGAGGTGACCAAAGACCAATCTTTTCCAAATCACATTTGTGGATTTTAGTTCTACTAACTGATTAACACTGTTGAAATTCCCTCTCATTATTGGTGATACAATTTTCTTTGTATACAACACAGTCTTCTGCCTGTGGCTAAGAGGGCATTCTTTCTATAAATGGTTATGTTTCCCAGGATCTGGCCTTGCCTTCTTTACTTCTTTATTGTGTATCTTTTTCTTCAATAATCTCATCTGCTCTTATGACTTGAACTGCTACATGTGTGGGAAAAGCATCCAGGTCTGTAATTTTTGTTGCCTCCTACAGGTCTTCCCTGGATAACCCTTAATTTCTTTTTTTCTTTTTAATAATGCTATTTCCCTGGCCTAGACCAGAAGCCTATATAACACTCTCTTCTCTGTCCCTTGCTCTGTATAGCTAAACAGGTCATCAAGTACTATAGATTGTTTCCATTAAAACCAAGGTTCACAACTGTGGCTGCAAGTAAGCATCACCCATAGACCTTTTAAAATGTGCACTCCTGGCCCTGGCTGGTGTGGCTCAGTGGATTGAGCATGGGCTGCAAACCAAAGGGTACCAAGTTCGATTCCATGTGCCCTGACCATTCCTAGTCAGGGCACATGCCTAGGTTGAGGGCCAGGTCCTCAGTAGGAGGCACGTGAGAAGCAACCACACATTGATGTTTCTCTCTCCATCTCAATCTCCTTCCTTTCTCCTCTCTCTAAAAATAAATAAAATCATTAAAAAGTAAGTTAAAAAAAACATAAAATGTACACACCTGGAGCCCAGTCCCAGAACTACTCAACTGGGCTCTCTTGAGACTTAGGTATGCCTGCTTTTATGAAGCCTCCCTGGGGATACTGATGCTCATCTCACATTGAAAACAGCTCTCTAAAATTTTTCTGTAATCCTCCAATTTATTTCCACCATTGCTGCTTTGGTTTAGGGTTTAGCGTTTCCTGTAGCTACCACAACAGATTACTACCAACCTGGTGGCTTAAAATAACAGTTTGTTCTCTCACTGTTCTGGAGGCCTCAAGTCTGGAATCAAGGTGTGGGCAGGACCGGGCTGCCTCTGAGGATGGTCTTAGGGGCGGAGCCTTGCTCGCCTCCTCCCGCTTCTGACGGCTCCAGGAGCTCCTTGGCTTGCGATGGCCAGCCCAGGTCTCTGCCTCCGTCTCCACACACTTATCTCCTCCTCCCCCCCCGTGTGTCTCTTATAAAGACACTTGTCTTTGCATTTAGGGCCCCCCGGTGTCCCAGGGTGATCTCATTGTAAGACCTTTATTTTAACTGCATCTGCCAAAAAAATTCCCCCCCCCCAAAGGTCCCATTCACAGGGCTGGGACATGCATATATGTTTTGGGAGGCGGCTGTTCAATTTGCCATACTGCTCCTGTGGTTGTGGTAGTTCTTCCCCACCTGGTCACCTTGATTCCGGCCCGGGCGTCCCTCCGGCACTGCGCCGCAGTCACTTCCTGCAGCAGGTCTGCGGGTACTGTCATTTTGTTCAGCGTCATCATTTCGTTACAGTGTCGGTGAGAGACCATAGGAGCTTAACTCTTGGTTTTCATTAGCCTATAGTGAAATTGACTGCATTGTGTGTCACTTTTCATAAAGTCACAGAACCTATTTAATGACAGTATGTGTGAACTTATTGTGTATGTCCAGTCATGTTAGTCCTTCGCTTAAATCTTACCAGATTCCCCACTCTCTTGAGGGTAAGAAGCCACACCCCTTATCATGGAGTACCTGGCTGTTAAAACCCAGCCCTTGCCTACCTTCTACCCTTCTTTCCCAGTGTTTCCTCTCGTTTTGAGCTTCAGCTCTGGCAGTACTAAGTTACCTACAGCCCTCCTTGCCCTTGTATATACTGTTGCCCTGTGTTCCACATTTGGTCTTGTTGTTCAGAGTTCAAGACAGTTCAAGCACTGTCTCCTCCATGAAGCCTCCCTTAGTGCTTGGTGCTACGAGTGCGTGAAATGACTAGTGCATTCACATAAGTGTTTTGTCAGACTTGATTTTGTGCTTTTCTTTCCTCTTACCAGAGAGTTCTGTAGAGACAGGGAAGCTGATACTCATTGTGGTAGCTGTAGTACTTGGTATTATAAATGTTGAGTGAATGGTCACAGAGTTTAACCTAATTAGAAACTTGTCTCATCTTAACAATGGTTTTCCACTGCTACCTTAGTTACTTCCAGTAGGATTTTTTACTGATGGTCATCTAAATGTAGTAAGTAGACTGACATATTGTTTGCTTGACCTGCGATATCTGTATCTGGCTCAGGCAATTTAAATTAAAATGTTTCTATAGATGTTAAGCTTGACATTTCTGGGTTTTGTATTTTTTTCTTTGTATTAGATACGGCTTGTAAGTAGCAGAAACCAACTTGAGTTAGCTGAAACTGAAAAGAATTTCATGAACAAGAGTCAGATATATCCGAGCCAAGGGAAGCCCTTAAGAATCTACTCTTTTCATTTCTCTTTGCTACTTGTCTCTGTTCGTCTGCTTCATTCCAGACTGACATGCTCACACTTGGGTGCTTACATTTCACAGCTCTAGCCATCCACGGAGACTGGCTGGTTGTCTCTCTGTCCCATTTTTGAGTTTTCCGGGATAAGACTGTCTTTGGCCAGCTTGGGCCAGATGCCTGTCTCCAGCCACGGTGGTGCAGACGGTGCTGGCCTGGCCGTTCCATTCACACGAGGCACCGGGGCTCTCTTACGCCGTTAAGGGATGGATTCCCAAGAAGGGAGTGTTGTTGAGAGCAGATCCCTGAAAAGTGTCTGCTGTACTCTTCCTAGGTGAGGTCCTGCTGACCAGCAGTGGATAGGTGAGAGGAGGACGCATCAGAGAGCCAGGGAACCATGAGGGGAGAGGCCCAGCAAACTTTGCCAGATGTTGTACCATTTGCCTGTGGACCACAGTGGGGAAAATGGTCTTCTGAATTATGTAGAGTCCTGGCTTTAATTGATTCATGTTCCTCTTAATATGGAATGTTCATCTTGATTTAAGGAATACGGAAATATATTAGAACAAAGTGGGTTTATAGTGGTTGTTTACTCATGGATATGTCCATCATACTAATAATCACAAATGTGTCTTACAAATAATGTACATTATTCTGATCTTGCGTCAGAAAAGGAGATGGGTCCTTGAAAGAAATCATCTCTGTATTGTAGAGACATTTTTTATGGAGCAGACGTTCCTTAGTGATGGAAATGGTAACAGATTAAAAACAGTGAGAATAACTTCTGGTGATAATGTAAGTCCATTGTCATACTGGAGCTACCCAGTTGTAAAAGAAACACATGAAAACACTTGTTTTCAACTTTTACTGTTCTCAGTGGTCCTGATGTCCCTCTTTACCATCCTGGCCACCATGCGCTTCCTGACCAAGGCTGGAGTGTTAGGACAGGGACAAGCCACCAGATGTGCTGCCCCTGACTTGGGTGTTCCGAAGGAGCCTTGGGGCTGTCATTCTTATCCATGTAAATACGACCTTCTTCCTGTTCTCTTCTCAAAAAGAATTGCCAGGGGAGAGGTGGAGAATGGTCATGTCAGTGAGCAGCTTGAGACAGCCGTCAGAACACACAAGGACCGATGAGTTCAGAGCTGGAAAATACAGTTGATGACAGAATCACTACCTGTAATCCCGCATTTACTTTAAACACTGCTATTAGCTTAAGGTATTAATACAGGATATCTGCTTCAGGATATTAGATGTCTTTCAGGTGACTTTTTAAGTTACTTGACAGTTTGTGGACTAAAACTCATCTTTTTTATCTTTGGGCCATTTTATGGGCTACCTTCTGGTAGGGTCATATTTTATATTTAATTTTTACAAGCTATTTTTAGGCTAACCTGACAGTGTGAGGTTCAAATAGAAATGGGAATGAGTGTAGAGAATTCAGAACTTTTAACAGTGGAAGTAACTAAATTCAGTCTTCTTATAAATATAGATCCTACAGACATTAACATGATTTGGCAGTGAGAGATGAGGTTTAATTAGCACCGTATTTTTTGGACTATAAGACGCACCCCCCAAATTTGGGAGGGAAAGTGGGTGCGTCTTATAGTCCGAATGTAGTTTACCTGGCTCACTGTCGGGGTGGGGTGGTGGTGGAGCAGGGTCACAGGAGGCAGGAGTAGGGTCGCCGCTGCATTTTCCTTCCAAATTTGGCGTGGGGGGGGGGGGCGGATAAGGAAAGTGCATCTTATAGTCCAAAATATATGGTATCTATTTTCTGACCAGTTCATTTAAAAATATTTCTGGCATGTTTCTCTGGGGTCCATTAGAACAATGCTTGCTGAACTGAGCCAGTGCTCACACGGCCTCTGTAGAACTCTCATTTGCTTATTTATGCTCTGTCTGTTTCCAAAAATATTTGGAGACTCTGACTTTATAGGATAGGAAACCTATAATTACATTATGCATCACTCCTAAATTAAGTTTCTGGAAGTGATTTGAATTTCATTATGGCTGAATGTCTGTTCAGCAGCCCTTTCCTTCCGTGAGGTGTTCAGTGGACAGTTCCATGTGACCATTCCTGTCTTTTCCCTGTTCCATCTTACTTTTCTTCTTAAAACTTTTAAAACCTCCTTGAATAAGTGAACTCTTTCATCTTTGTTTATAGGTACAATGGTGCTTTGCCTAATGGAGACAGAGGCCGGAGGAAAAGCAGATTTGCTCTCTATAAACGACCCAAGGCTAATGGAGTTAAACCCAGCACGGTCCACGTGATATCCACGCCACAGGCATCCAAGGTAGGAGGCTCCTGCACCGCCGGAGGGCTCGGCTGACAGTGACTCACAGTGATTCCTTGTTACCCCTGGTCCTTTCAGTCTTACTTCTCTGTGGGGCAGAGTCTCTCAGGCATTTGAAGCTGGATAAATCTTGGTTGTGAAGTGCTGTCCTGTGCATCGTAGGACATGTAGCAGCATCCCTTTGTCCACTAGGTGCTGGTAGCACATCAGTCCCACCCCACTGCCTACTGCCACCAACATTGCGACAACCAAAAATGTCTCCAGACTTCACCCAACATCCCCTGGGGGGTGGAGTGAGCAAGTCCCTCCCACCCACCTCATAAACCACTGCTTTAGGGTGTAGTGAAACTAGCATGTATCAGTTGAGAATAGTTGTGGTAAAAAGATAAATGATGTTCTTTATTCTAGAGAGTGTTTTTTATTAAATCTTGTATGAACTTCATTAAGATTATTTTCCTTCTGCAAATTGAGTAGTAGGTGTTTTCACATAATTTTTGCTACGTGGAATTGAATTTGTATAATTATTAGAAGGATTGGAAGTAAACAGAGCTAAATGCTATAAGAAGTCTGTACATATTTTCTCTCATAAATTTCAAGTGAATAAAATGTTAATTTTAAGAATTACCTCATATATTCTCTGATATAAAAATGAGGACACGAATCTCAGTTTATCATTTTGGTTGATACATTCTTCCGATTAGTTTTATGACAATTTTCCTTTTAATTAAATATATACTTTAATGTATAATATAGTGTATATAAAACAATTCTATAAAACAATTAGGTGTACATGAAGTATTTCATATGGGGCACTGAATATACATGTTTATCATCATGGGTTAGACCATCTGGAATAAATAAAAGACTTGATTCTCATTTTTACTGAAAAATCCATGTTCAAAGAGAAATGAATGGCTTCATGGAAGCACATGTGGCATTTATACTCAGTCTTAGAAACGGATTACTTTTGTTAATGTTTTTATTTAAAAAGCTCCTGTGGTTGTTTCTGAAGCAGTGCCTGGGAAAAGTTTGCTAGAATGTACCAATTAAAATTATATTAATGAGGGAATGGCTAGACAAGGCAGTATCAAACTCCAAGGAGCCAGGAAAGGAGAGATTAACATTTAGTGGCAAACTTTTGGGCTGGAGAAGGGCGAGTCAAGTAAAAGTTTCAGGAAGGGAAGGATACTTTGTAGGGGAAACAAAGAAAACCTGGTTTACAAACAAGATTCTGAGAAATGGAGGAAGTGAAATAGCAACAGAATGTGAGAGAGTCAAGGAAATATGGGAAACACTTTATAGTCCAAAAATATCTGGTGAGGAAGGACACCAAGACAAATGTTTTTAAAGTGTGGGGTAGGGGCCAAAATATTCTGATGTTATAGACATGGCCCTTACAATTTTGTCTGTATGTTGACATTTATCTTTATTTCCTCTGGCTCTCCACCTTTTTTATTACATTAATTCTTTCTAAACCTTGGATTTTATGTGGATACAGTGGCTTCAGCTATTGTTAAAAGTTTTTGAGAAGCCTTTGACTCCTCAGGCATCGTGCTGTGAGAGAACGTGAGCGGCGTCGGTGCCGCTCGAAGACCGAAGACCGGTGGCTCTTACTCGTCACTGTCTCCAGTTGCTGCAGTTTTGGCTTTTTGTGTTTTATACTTGTACCTACACTTGACCTGAAGTTTTTCAGATTACAGACCTTTTGGTAGTTGTCTTTCTAAATCTGTGTTTGAAAGTATCAGCCGCAGTGCTATAGTAAGGGAGATTGGGTTTTGGTCTTGACCCTCTCCCTTTTTTTTTTAACTTTTTTTTTTATTTAAATAAGGAGAAAGAGTTGGCTATAGGCAGGAGCCACGTTGAATCCTATCAGATACTTTGGTTATAAGGGATACAAATGATTCTGGCTTAGAAAAGAAAAAGAAAAATGGAGAACTTAAAGAATAGGGTGGGAATAGCTCTCAGAAATGGGTGGAAAGTTGAGTAACTGGGTTTTGTGAGAACCAGAGTGTCAGCAGGAGTTAACGTGGGTATTCTTTCAGGGGTGTTATGAAGTGACTTGGCTCCAGCTACCTTCTACCTCCTTTAAAGGTTTTGAATTCTCAGGAAGGGGAATTTGATAGGGCTAGTCCAGGTCAGCCAGCCATGACCAAGGGAGATGAGTGGACCAGACATAGTTATTGTGAGCGGATCAAATACCCCATATGGCATTTCTGTCATGCATCTTACTTGCTGTGTACCTGTAGGTTGAGGGCCTCGCACCTAGTATTTCATCCCACCTGAACCTAGCACCTGGGCCACAAATCCCTCACTCCTGTGCCCTCCTATCCCTGATCAGCTTTGCCCGTCCACCCCGGCTCTCACCTTCTCTGTTGGCACCGTTGTCAAAGTCTCTTACATATTTAACTTTCCTTAGATGGTCCTCCAACTGCCCTAATTTAACTGAATCCTGGATTTTATTGATATATTCTTCTTACTCTGTTTTCCATCTCTTCCCGTTCACATAACTAGAAATGTTTTCATTCTGTTTCCACTTCAGTCTCCTTTTTAACTCTGCATTATTAACTTAACAGCCCTAACCCTGCTCCTGACCTCACTGACCTACAGGTCACTCTTCTGCATCTGTCAGTGGTTCAGTACCTAGGCAAGCCGATCCCTGTGTCTCCCCAACCCTTGTTTAAACATGAATTAGCATCCATGGTTCATTTGGTGCTTACACTCAGTTTCAGAGACTGTCACTTCCTTTCCACTTCTCCCACTGTCATTTGAAAGTGACCATACTTTCCGGTTCATTCTACTTGTGTTTACTTTTAGCTTCTTCTCATCCAGACATCGGGCCCTTTTGCCTGTCCTTGTTTGCCCCAGTTGTTAGCCCACCTGACTTTTCCATCCATGTTGTTGACTTCACCCCAGATGCCTTTTCTCTGGTACCTTTTGGCACCTGCTGTTTGTGAGTTTGTGGCTCTGGGCCCTTCTAAGCCCTACGGATTGTTTTTCTTGTCATTTTCTTGCACACCCCGTTTCCCATCAGAGTGCCAGGGTATGTGGTGGTACTTGGTAAAAGCAGCTTGAACTCAGTCATCAGTGGTTTGTCTGCTCTGAAAGTTCTGATTCTGCAGCATTGATAATGGAAAGGTCACCCTCAATTGGAGTTATAGAAGTGAGAGTTAGAAGGGTGTGTGTGGTTACCATTATTAAATTTGAGCACGTGGCATTTTGACTGTGTTGTTTCTTCCCTTTGCCACAGTCATTTCCTCTGCAGCACAGTCTGGGAGCTAAACAGGGAGTACACCTTTGCTGATGGTAGCAGCAGCTGGGAAATGGGACCTCTTAGTCTTCCGTGCATGCCAGTGTCCGAGCTAAATCAGAGGGGATAGCACGTGATGCTGTGGTTGTGTAATCTCTGTTTGTATAACCTTTAGTTCTGTACATATTTGCTCTTGGGATCCTAGTACTCAAAAGAGATTTCTCCTATTATATAATGTGTGTTGTTTTTTAAAAAAAACAACCCTTAAGTCCTATTTTACTTTTGACATTTCTATTACACAGACATAGGGTATTTAGCAATTTATTCACCCATTCATTTATTCACCAAATATTTATCTAGCTAGCTCTTTCTATGGCCAGGCATCATGCTAGCTGTTAGATACACTACAGTCAACAAAACATGCCTGTCTGGGGCTAACTGTCTAGCAGGTAGGCAGACAGTACGTAATCATGTGAATACACATTTAACTGCATCTTGTGGAAGAGCACAGTGACGGAAGAGAATAAGGTGCAAGCAAAGGGGGTGCGGAGTCGAGGTCAGGTAGACAGGGAAGACCCTGAGGGAGTGGCTTGGGGACTGTTAGCCATCAGCTGTAAGGAGGGTTAGCCAGGAGAGCAGACACACCTGGAGCTCTCGGGAGTCTGCTTGGAGAATCCGGGCTTTTTTCTGAGTGGAAACATGGAAGGGACTGGCATGACATAGCTAAGAATTTAAGTTGATTTATGTTCGTTCATTTACTTTTTAATGAGGCGGGGCAACTGATTGTTTTTATCTAATCAGCAACTAGTATGATGATGGTGGAGGTGGTGCTGCCTGAGAGGTGACTGTTTCAGTAGTGACATGGTTTCAATTTAGCGACATTACCGTGGGAAGCTCTCCATCGTGATTTTCCCTCCTTAGATTGTGCTGTATGGAAGTCTCCTTTTTTGGTTATTTGTACTTTTAAAAGTGACTGAATATCGCTTGGTTCCAGTTGGCATATTTCAGGATGGAAAATATCAGTAGTCTTAACATGACTGTTCAGAGGAAAAATTAGGGCTATTTAATGTAATTGCTACAACCAGGATTGCTCTTTAGCTGTTTGCACTGGAGTGGCTCTCTTGTTTGATAAGATAATGAAACTCTTCCTTATCAGTCAGTGAATAATGCAATAGTAACTGTGTGAACTGGTAGAATAAATACACAAATTTCAATGTAAGCCCATTAGTTCAACCCAATTGTGTAGGCTGCAGTTGGGTTTACTTTCAGAGCACTCACTGCATGTCTCTCCAACCTGGATCTTGGGGGCAATGGATGACCAGGCTCCCATTTGGAAAGTTTTATCCTTTTAGATACCACAAACATGAATATCTGAACCTGTCTGAAAAGAAAACAAAAAAGTATTAGTAATAAATTGCAGCCCAGAATATCTTTTGATAATATATAAGAATATAAACCTAAAACAAATAATTTATATATTTAGGATGAAGTACAACTTATTTCAGTGAAAAATATAAAAATAACCTAACTTTTTACCTTAAGGAAAAAAAGAAGAAAAAAGGAAGCCCAAAGTTAGTGAAAGGAAGGAAATAACAAAGAACAGAAATAAAGAAGATCTAAAAAAATAATAGAAAAGCAATGAAATTAAGAGCTGGCTTTTTGAAAAGGTAAACAAAATAGACAGACTGTTAGTGAGATTCATCAAGAAAAAGTGAGAGAGTGCAAGTCAAATTGGAAATGGAAAAGGAGATGT